TAATTCTCACTAAAGTAGAAACCGGGTAAGTCCCAAATGTCAAATTGGAACTGGATCCTCAAGTTTCATGATGCAATTAAAAAAAAAAAAAAGGAATGAACATTGCCTCTTAGCAACAGCATGGGCTGCTATAGTACCAACACTCTAGACTTGTGTTCAGTGCAAAACTTGGCCACAACACTGGCTGTACTGACTGGGAGTTTTTATGGTTTTCCTCATTACCTAAAGCAAATATGACAGTACACTGACTAGGCTATTACCACATCTTTCCAGATCCTTTCCAATTCATTATTCACCAATCATCCTTCCATTTGATACTGTTGTAAAATAAACCAGCAGGCGCACACTCATATGCACTCTCGCTCTCTCTCTCTCTTAGGAATCTTCACAAGCATGTATATTAAGAGAACATAAAAACGAATATACAGGATTGCAACGATGGTGATGCTTCACAATATGTGTCCTATGCACAAAATGAAAGTTTGGACGTCTACACTATTCAGATTGTCAACACAGCTTCAAAGTTTGATAATTTTCTGTTAAGAAGTATAGAAGCATTCTCAACCGTGTATTAATTGGAAATGAACAAAAAATCTTAAAAAAAAAAAGCACTAAATTAAGTACTTATTATACCAGTTACACCATAGAAAGCGATCAAGTTTATCAGCACAAATTATAATTGCTCTGATTGAAAGGAAAAGTGTATTCAAATATGGACTTCCTAGAATATCATAACCTATCAATTTAATTTCGCATAATTTAAATAATAGAAATCGAGACGTCCAGAAGGGCGCTGCTGGGTCAAGGAAACATTCCACCTCAAACCAGAAAAGTCTCGTCATTTTTACTAACCATCGAACTGCTAATTCTGTACTTTTATCAGACGTGGCATACTAACCTGACCACATACGTCACATACAGTATCTGCATCGTTGCCAGTTCCAGATTTACTACGGCCTGGATCTGGTGTCGACAGTTTGTTGGAAGTCTTGCCAGCACTTCCAGGTCGCGATTTCATAGGCCGCCCCTTACTGTCAATCTCTTTATTAGCATGTTTCCTAATGTCAGTAATGAAGAGAACAATTAATTGTACCTCCTTTGCAACCGTAAGTATAAATCATTGGAAAGTGCGGGCATCAAATGGTAAACAAATTACTTTCAAATGAAACCGGGTCAATATTAAATGGACTGACCTGAAATGCTCCTGAAGTGCTTCTTTTGAATCCAATTTATTATTACAAAGCACACACATATGTTTCTGAACAGAAGACATTCTTAAATAAAAGATATCCAAAATTACGGACGTCCGATACTTCTGGCATTACACTCCTACACAACCGAATTGTTCTTCAGCTACAACACATAACAGCGCTCACGGATTACTAAGTCACGCATGCTCGCTTCTCGCTTAAGGCTCGCTTATGCTTATAACAGCTGTTACGGATGGCGCGCTACGAGCACCACCGAACATGGTATTGCAGCTTGAGTAAATGTTCTACGAAAGGTGTTACCATGTAGTAGCTAAATGAATGTTTTCATCCTAAAATTAAAAAGAGGTTGTTATTATTATTTATTTCATCCATGGCTGTAGAGAATTACAATTGGACATGTCAAATATCAACAACCTCACATCAAAAATAACATAACATTCACACAGTGATTAGATATCTGTTCCTCATACATCATTTCCAGGAGATGTTTAAACTATTTTCGCAATTCTTATGCGATCCTACTTTGATGCCTCTGGCAATTTTAAATAAGACGCGAATGGGGGTAGTAAAATGGACGTCAACAGAACGTGGAAAATTGCGTCACAGTCAGAGTAATTCCATGGAACAGTGCATGTGAAGTTCATAGTGACTCATCTGCTTATGAAATTCTCCGCCTTTAATGGAACTCTATTTAAGTTCCATTATACTGCTCATAAGTATCCACCACAGGTTCATGTCCTGAGCCAAATGAATCCACTCTCCATCTTCCCACCATATTTAACTAAGATCCATCTTATATTTTATTTCATGTCTAGGCCTTCCAATTAGTTTCTCATACCGTTTCAACCGAACCCTTTATGCGTTTCTCATTTCTCCAAAGCATGCAGCATCAGCCTAATAATACTTCAGAACAATAAAGATGATAAAGCAATTTTCTCCAGCCTCCTGTAACCTCCTTCCAATTAGTTGCAGTTACTCTCCCCGGCATCATGTTCCTCAATATCATTAATCTATTCAAGGTTTCTGTACCGTCCCAAGACATGTGATATTTTGGCCGTTATATAATCAGCGACTACATTGGATGTACCAGTGAGTTAATCTGTTTATTATATCACATTACAAACACTACGTGTTTAGGTCTTCCTGACCATCTTCAGGTGTATACATATAAAATCACAAATATATTAGCTTTTGCTGTATATATATTGACCACATATTGACTACATATTTGAAAAAGCATATCATATTCCTGTCCATTTTATGCGGCGTGCTGCATATAATTATGACACGACAATTTGTTCACATAAGTAAGGAAACTATTTCTGAACAAACATATATTATTACACAAATAAAAATATGTTTCAAGGCCACTCGCACTATAAGCAATAATACCAAAGCTTCATCACGAATTCACAACCAAACATCCCAGTCAGTTGCACTGAATGACACCTACAAGCCCTACAAGTTGATCTGTGATCCAGAGTCTTCCAAACTGTACGTGGTGGCAGTCCTTGCGTGTTAACAATGCGCTTATTTTTTTTTATTTCTAGTGGGGTGGGTCTAAGTCCCTTGTACATGTCTCAGTATCATTTGTCAGACCCCATTTGTAATATGGGTTCTTTTCTCATGTCCTCAGTTATGTATTCTTGGCTGAAACCATCGGATCTAGGTTTCCATTGATCACTGCACTGGAGATGGTAGGTTCCTGCCCTGGCCTCTGCCTCCAACTGTAGATGCAGTGGGGGGAGTCCAAGGAGTATCTCTAGTGCAGCTGTTGGAAATGTTCGAATTGCTCCTGTGATACCCAAGCAGGCCAAACTTTGCAATTTTCTAAGTTCTGCCTTGCTTGTCTTGAGTTTAACCCTGGGCCACCATACTGTGGAGCCATATGTAATTATGGGTCTTACAACCGCAATGTATATCCACTGCACAACGTGCGGCTGCTTTCCCCAAGTTTTACCAAACATGCTTCTGCATGTCTAAAAAGACTTATAGGCTTTATTGATGACCTTGTCCATCTGCTTTTTCCATGTCAGTCCCTTGTCTAATACTAAACCAAGGTACTTGACATCGCTGGAGAGCTGGATCGTCTTGCTGAAGAGGGTCGGTTCCTCAAGGGCCTTAATATTTCTCTTCCTAGTAAACTGTATAATTACAGTCTTATTGGGATTGATGGAAAGACTTGTTCTTTCATACCATCATTGGACTGTGTACAGAGCTGTTTGAAGATGCTCTGATACTGTCGAAAGGAATTTTCCATTTATGAGCATTGCTATGTCATCAGCATATTGTACCAGGCCCAGATGATAGGTGAGGGTGATTGTGGAGCAATTGGTGGAATGAAGAGTGGCAGGGGAAACCAAAGTACTTAGAGAAAACCTGCCCCAGTGCCACTTTGTCCCCCACAAATCCCACTTGACCAGACCAGGGATTGAACCCGGGCCCCTGCGGTGGGAAGCCAGCGACTAACCACTTGAGCTATGGCACAGCCCAACTATGGACTTACTCATGATCATGATGTGAACATACTGGGGAAAAGGCATTTGAGAATAGTTTGTCGGATTGTTAACAGTTTGTTTCGTGTTGATGTTGATATCTTTCATTATGCACGCTGGGAATGATTTCGTAATTACTGGTCGCTTGTGATTTCTGGCAGAGAGAACATGCTAACATCTGCTGATATTTCTACAACAGTGCAGGAATGTAAAAAATTTCTTACATAAAATGCAGGCTATTTACAGAAACGAAATTAATTACATATGGAACATATTAAGTGGATGGGGCCAGAAAAATATTCCCTACTTCAGGATTTCACTGTAAAATAAACAGTTTTACGAATTTTGGAATTCAACATATATGATCAGTCATGCATGGATGGATTTGATATGATGGTAAAGGAGCACTCAATTTACAGGCAGATAACTTCCTGTTTATTATACAGACATGTTAGAAAAATGAAATACAATGCACAGCGCTAAGATCACCACACGTTCTCTTTTTCCTTAAGTTCATTCTTATGTACTTAAACCTTCAATAATATCTTCTAGTTTCAGAAAACTTTAATTTTATGAACAGTTACTTTTGGAATATCTGCGAGTGACGTAACAATTTAAGTCTGCTATTCGTTCTTGAAATCATAAACATCGCAAGCGGCACGTCTAACTACTGTTGTATGCGGTTGCATTGCTTTGTGCCTGCACCAGCAACTGCAACACTGCCAGTACTGTGGGTGTCATAATTATCCCTAATATATTTTTGCATTCGCATATATTTGCTGGCATTTTGTAACAATGTGCTCAAAAAGTAGTTACACTTCATAGAAGAGAAAGAAACCAACTAATTGCTATGTATGTGACTGCATATTGCTGATTTTGTTTTGTAAATAAAACTGAAATTTTGAATTTTTCTACAAACTTATGTTGTATTTTCCTAATGTACAAGGATAAATAAACATTTCTGTTTTTATTTTACTGATAATATACCAAAAAGGAAGTGTGAATTAATGGCAAACTTAAAAAATTCTTCCAGCTTTGAAGTTGGAAAAAAGAAAAATGAAACAGATGTATTATATGCAAAACCATCATGTCTGCAGCAAACAAAGACAATTATGATATGGAAATATACATCAACAGTGCCAAGCAGAAAAAAAAATCCAAATTCATCACAATGATATAATCCTTCCACCAACATTATTACTGGGGAAGGCAATGCTCTTACCGTCACCCAAGAACGCTACAGGGACCTGGCGATCAGACCATTTCTTCAGGATCTGAGAAGGTTCTGTCTGCAAGGGGCCTTCACAAGGTATCAACAGGATGTCTTTTCATTTCAGTACTGTAATTTTTGGTACATACTGTACATGATGGATGGATAGCACATTAACACAATACAGAAGGCTGCTTTTATTTTTGGAAATTAAAGCAAAAATAGCAAACAAAATGTATCATATAGACACAGATTTATTACAATTCACTGACAATGGTTTCCAAAAACCAGTTGCCTTTAAACAACATTGAGCAAAACATTGTGCTTCATTTAAGTGCTTAACTGTTATACATATGGGCATCACAATCAACTTACAACTTCTAGTACATATTTTATATACACATATAGACATTACATACAAACAGAATGGAAAACAAATATAATCATGAACTATACTAATAAATATCATTCCTGTTCTCTATTCAGAACCCAAACAATCCCAAAAATTATGTGTCTGCAGAAAATTATAGTCTCTTGATCGGGTGTCATAACCCATTAAGTGTACAACAATCTTATGCATCCTGCATACAAAAATTTACACTTTTGCTCTCTCCCCAAAGAGTGCGAGAGGTTACATTACATGTATGTTCATTAATTGCCCCAATATGCACAAAAAGATAAAAACACACATTGATTACAAGTATAAATGTTGTTCCCACTTGTTAACAATAATAACGTTATACTGTACACTCTGCAATTCTGATCTGCTGAGTAATGGCTACTGTTTCTTATCCAATAACCTAGTCTTAGTTAGAGAAATGATAACTGGTATTGGCAAATATAAGGACTACATGTTTCATCCATAAGGGAAATTATATGTTCAATATCAGTCAGTCATAAACAAGAGAATTAAATCACATAACATAATATCCAGAGAATTCTCAGAAGCATGGTTTGGTTATTTGCTCACTACATTGCTGGTGTAACACTGACCACAGTACTGACAGGTGACATGAATGGACACCACTACTGATCAGAAAATGAAAATGTGACATGCACTATTTCCAGCTACTCATATTCAGAGTAATTAAACATGACAGTCCTAAAGTATGCTAGAGTGTAGAAAAAGTCAAATGGATTAAATTTATAGCTTGAATTCTTATCATGCACATAGTACTAACAAAATCACTGTTAGTAAATCAATGCCAATTGTATCCAAAGTCTGTTATTTAATTAGTTGCTTTTTTAAACACTGCAGACAGAATGACAGACCTGTTATGAGCACTGGCTACTGCTCCTTCTTCACTTCAGATGAGGTTTTGACAGACCCAGCTTCTGGCAAATATTTAACATGGTTATGACTGGCACTATGTGCATCCATCTGAAACACGGTAATTTGCATATAGTTACTATAAATGATTTGGATTATTATACAAATTCTGCAACATTTCCTTATTATCACAGCTCCAAGTGGTGCAGTGATATGCTTGGAGAAAATTACTGCATAAGTAATGAGATGAAATTGGAGATGATATGACTTATAGCTATATGTAGAGGATGCATCAGGAATGAAGTGCGTTGTGACACAGCACACAAGTATCCCCCAACTTACATGATACTAGAATTCCAAGTAGTGGTTATGTAACTCAAAAACTGATCCTCTGTTCTGTTGCTCCTTTGTTTTTATTGCAAAATACACAATTCAATTAACTTCCATACTGTTCATTTTATCTGTTCATGAATCCCAATTTTTTGTTCTGGAGAAATATTTAAATTATTTTTCAGCCATAAAGCATTTCTGGCCAGATAATTCTTTTTCTGTTGGTTCAGTCAATCCCATCTTTAGTATGAATCTCTGTGATATACCTGACATCTCCCCTCTTCCAAAAGCCAATTCACATCACTCCAATCCGCTTCTCCTATTCTGGGACAGGAACCTGTTGGTTGGGCAATTTATGTTTGTGGGTCCCACTTTGTCTCAGATGTCTAGTGAAGATATACATTAAATTCTGTTTCAGTTCTGATCTTAGTGCCATACTGTGCTATGTAAATTTGGGAAGTTCAGTCTGGATGTTGCTGGTTGGGCTGTTGAGGCATTGGGCCCTCGTCATGTGGCTCTGTTGGGTACTGGGCAAAGTATATGCTGTTATAGCACATGATGAGGTATTTGATTTGTGTACTTCTGGGGAGGGGGTCACGGTATTGCTTAAAAATTTAATATGGTTAAATAGGAGGTTTTGTTTAGAGAATATGCTAGCCATTGTCCACACTGTATTTCTCACTACTGTATCTTCTGCAGATTCTAATTGCTTTCTGTGTTCAGTATCGTGCAAAGGAGAAATTTCTTCGTCACGTGAGGCATTGTTCAAGGCCATGTCAAGTGCTACCCTTGGTAGAACAACATTCTGAGACTAATTCTTGTTCTAACTGATTTATTCAGCTGTAATTCTGTATTATTTATGAAGAGTATGTTGTTTTTCTATGTTATGTTTTCAATCAGTATTAGCATAATCTTTAAGTCTGTCAGTTTCCTACACTTCATACATCTTCTTGTTACTTTGTATTTTCCTTCCTCTATGGATAGCAAAGTTCCTGGCTGACTAGTTTTGAGAAGTGTCAATGTTTATGTTCAGACACTCTGTTCATCTTAGGAGTGTGCAACATGTAACTGAATCAAAGATGATAAAGTGGGTCACTTATTCTTGAGTCTCAGTTTGAGCAAATTATGTACCACGTTACTTTTTTAGTTTTCTATGAAAAAATTAAATTATGAAAAATGATGTGAAATCATGTTAATGTAAAATTTGCATATGTTCTTATCACATGAAGTCAGAGTTTACTCGTATGCTGAATTAAGATTTTAGTGTGTACACTAAAATGTTAATAAAATGGAAATTTGGGTACAGATGATTGATGTGCGAGGTAATAAACTTGCATCCTAAAAACTGTATAACATGAAATAAAATTATATATTCTTTTACCAAATTTTAAGCATTTTAGGTTATCTGCAAAAATCTTCTATAAAACAAAAAAACAGTTGTTTCTCAAATATTTTTCCTAATGAGATTTGAACAGTATTTGTACTAATGAACACGAGATTCAGGGTTTGACGTTCTGACTGCAGGCAAATTCCAATAATAATAATATTATGCATTACCAGGGTCTTAACTAAGTTCTCAGAATTGATGAAGCCTACTTTCCTTCATATACTTTAAAATATAAGCATAGTGAAGATAAGAGGAACTATAAATTTATAACAATAAAAATTAGTGAGCCATTTCTATATGAAGTTTCTACCAGCACACAATCTCACTATAATATATTTGCAATATATAATTATAATATAAAACCTCTTATATTTTGTCTGTGAAGTATCTTTGTAACTGTTGACACATGCAAAATATTTCATACAGATTTATGTCGATACGTTTTTGATCTCTCTCCATGCAAAATTTCACAAACCTAGCCCATGTGGTTCAGTAGTAGTCGTCATCAAACCGAAAGTTAAACACAAATGTCACATGGCTGCCATGTAGTGTTTCTACATTCTACGAGAAAATAAATTAGCTCAAAATTTGCACATTTTTATTCAGTTACCTAGCAGACTTTCTGGGGTCCATATTAAGTGGCACTAGTGATGCTCCCACTTAAGAATATTTCATGGCCATTGTTTGTATTTTTGGTATGCAAATTTAAAATGTACAAAGGTGGGATGGATTCTAGTAGTATGATGTTCATACCAAGTTTCATAAAAATCTGTCAACTTATTCAGACATTTAGCCTAGCAGAGGCACATAGGAATGATCAGGTAGTGCTTACCTGTGTAGGACTGGATTGATTCTGAGAGGAGGCATGATGTTTACTGCCACCCCAAGAAAGTCGTTCAAGTCCCACCAACTGATATTTAAGTTTGACTTGTTCCTGAAGTTTCTGAGGTATTACCATTGATGTCGTCACTGTGTTTCCAAGGAACAGCACAAAGAACAATGCAGACAGCACTGGTACCTGTATACAGATATCATTTAAAACCTCTTGTGCAGAAGTTAAGAATGTGTGGATTTATAACTCTGCCTTCTCATACATTGTGATAGCATGGTGCTTAATTAAACAAAGAGAGAGCTTTACCTTCATAGTGCAGACCTATCTCTGATAAATTACAGAAGAGGCACCTGTTCTTCACTCACTTACCTTCCTTGTCAATATCACTACAGTAGCTAAACTTTAAAGGAGGAATGACACTTAACATCTTTGGCATTCTCTATTACATTCAGAATTGACAAGAATGTTTCATTTTCTCTATATATATATATATATATTACATAAAAATGTACAAAAATCTCACTGTAATGCAAAAATATCATTAACAAAGCACACAGATAAGGTCACAGATTCATTCATTAGAGGACAATAAAAGACAGTAATAGCTGATTATAATGGGATCCCAAGGAACACGAATATTTTTCCAATTCAGAGTTTTCTATTCAATGCAGATACTTCTAGATAAAAAAGTGTACAATACACATCCCATATATTTATGATCAAATCACAATCCAAACCATGTTAGGTGGGTACCTTGTCACCATGGCATGGCACATCTTCATGTTGTGGATGGAGGAGATGGCCTCCAGATAAGGGGGACAGGTACAAATATACTGAATAAGCAGTTGCACACAGCCAACACGGGATTGTCCTCCAGCTTGGAAGTTTCATATGGGGCTAACAACTCCTCACAATTAAAAAATTAGCTTTACACAAAATGTTATGAAAAGCCTTGGACCTGGACAGATTCTTTGGATAAACGACCTAAGCTAAGGGAAATGGACATGAGATTTGGTACATGGAATGTAAGAAGTCTGTACATGGCAGGTTTGTTTATGACAGCTGTGAAAGAAATAACAAATATAAGCCAGATTTAGTGGACGTACGGGTCCAATGGGGCAGAGATGGCACTGAACCAGCAGGCGAATATACATTTTCTATGAAAAGGGGAATGAGAATCATGAATTAGGTATAGGTTTTTTTTTTGCACACAAGAAATTTATAGCAGCAATTAAGAGGGTAGAGTTTGTTAGTGACAGGATGTTGTACATAATACTAAGAGGTCGCTGGTGATCTGTTTGCAGATTCCCACAATACTTTGAACAGGTGGAAGAATTACTACTTCTCTCAGTCATTGAATGTACACAGGGTCAGTGAAGTTAGGCAGATAGAAATATATACAGCTGAGCTATTAGTACCTGATTCTAGTTCTTTAGAGGCTGAAATTGCTATTACAAAGTTGAAAAGGTATAAATCACCATGCAGTGAACAAATTCTTGCAGAACTGATTCACGCTGGAGGTGAAACATTATGGTCTGAGATCCATAAACTCATTAATTCTGTTTAGAATAGGGAAGAACTGCCTGATCAGTGGAAGGAGTCTATTGCACTAATTCACAAGAAGAGGGATAAAACTGACTCTAGTAATTATTGTGGGTTATCACTGCTATCAACTTCATACAAATTTGTATCCAATATCCTCCTCTCAAGGTTAAGTTCACATATAGATGAAATTATTGGGGATCATCAGTGTGAGTTTTGACGTAACAGATCAACCACTGAGCATATTTTTTGCATTCATCAGATACTGGGAAAAAATGGGAGTACAATGAGACAGTACATCAGTTATTGGTAGACTTCAAGAAAGCCTATGATTTAGTTAGGAGGGAAGCATTGTACAACATTCTCATAGGGTTTGGGGTGCCCATGAAACTAGTCAGATGGTATACTAACTCAAAATGCGGAACAGTGATTGGGAATTTCAGGTAAGTGATAAATATTTGTATCTCACATCAGCATAAAACCAAAAATAGTGGCTTGATGCTGCTGTGACAACAGTGATGCTTCCATATTTAAAGTACCTATTCTAAATCAGAGATAAAGTATGACTTGGTTAGCAGTCTGTATGGGTTCCTGAAAGGGAATTACTGAGCCCTTGAATGCCAGAAGAAGCCATCCTCTATTATACATTTCTATCAAACAAAGCCTATGTGCCTGTACCTAAGTATGCAAAGTGAAAGAGGCACAAATTTAAACTTACCTGCCAGGTGGCTTCAGGATGGAAGATCAGCTTGTATAAAGTATAGGCATTGTAAAGCTGGTAAATGTAGCCTACATAAAGGAATGGAAGAAGGAAGCTAAGACCACGCCACATCCATGAGTGAAAACCTTCAATAGTGATATCCATGTTATGCCTTTCACCCAGAGCTTTTAGACGGTAGAGAACACCCTGCTGATAACGGAACTGCAAGTACTGGACCACACCTGTCAATACATATATAAATTAAATGTACATATTATCACGTGATAGTGAGTGACTATACGGGGTGTTTCCCGACTTTAGGGCATAACTGCAGGAGGTGATTTCCTAGGTCTTTGTGATCAAAAAAGTTCATATAAACATGTGTCTGATTTTGGATGGTTACGGAGTTATGACCGTTTTAAACTCAGAATAGAAGGTAAAGATTACTGACAATAAATGGAACAAAATAATAAACCAGCATAATATATGATATATTTAAAGTATGAATGTAAAGTTAACTTCGTGAAATTACCTTTAATTTGAATTGATTGGTGCTTAAAGCTGATTTTCGAAAATGCCACCTCCGGCAGCAACACAGGCTGCTGCTTGGTTGTGAACCGTGCTTGACATACCAACCCACCATGCCTTAGGTACCTCTCAAGTGTCGAGATAACGAGAATGCTCTGTCTGTAGCTGGCTAAAAATAGCGACCCATCAGATGATAAGACGCGGTTCACACGAGGGCGTGTACAGGAATGAAAAAACGGACATAACTCCGTAACCGTCCAAAATCAGACACATGATTATATGAACTTTTTTTATCACAAAGACCTAGGAAATCACCTCCTGCAGTTATGCCCTAAAGTCGTGAAACACCCTGTAGATGGGTTTAGATTGGTAACTGGATTTATTGACCACTTTAATATAGGACTTGTGACTACATATACTATAACAGCCTCACTGGTTTACACAGTTTATAGATCACTGTACCTGCAGCACCTTCTATAGACTGACTCAATAACTAACTCCCAGGATGGCTGCCGCCTCACACCAACCTCCTAGTCTTTGCTCCACAGATTCCATGACAAATGACTGCAACTCAGCTGGTGCCCTCATTATATAACCCCTTGGAATGGATCATGTAGAAAACACCGTTTCCAACAGTTCCTCTTTGTTGTGTATGGATTCATTGCCATAGGAACCTGTTTTTTTCATGGTTGCTACTTAATAATGGGTCGACATGCAACACTGCTCCCTCCTTAAGGCTATTTGTCCTGCATGGCCTACTGGTGTATTGCCATTTCTTCTTTTTCCGATTTGTGGGAGGCAAAAGATCCGAGAGTGGTAAATGCTCCTATATCCATGGCTCTTACGCTGTTGTTAGTGGTCTCTACTTTCGTTTCAGAGGGAGCTGACCCCTCTATAATGTCCAGTCACTCATTTTTCCAATTTTGACTGAAGGCTTTGCTTCATGATCTCCAGCATGAGAGCCTTCCTCAAGATCCTGCTAGATGTCTTTGGGCTTTTTAAACATAGCTGTTCCTTTAAGGCTCAGTCCCTTATCTCATTGCTGCATTCCTGGTACACTGTCTCCCCTTGAGCGTCCATCCTTCAGGGACTCCTCTTGCAACACTGTCCCTGCCTGGTCACTGATGACCATGTCCCTTGTGAGGTGCAGGAATGGCATGGCAGGTCATCTGTCTGTGGGCAGTGGCCAATTTCATCACCCTGGGCCCATTACTTTGGCTGTTAGCAGCACCATACAGCTAAATGCCAGTCCCCATACTGCTCCTTCAGCGCTTAGATAATCTCCACTGTCGCTTCTTCTTTAGGGACTTCCTGATGCTCCGCTACAGACTTCATTTCCTCTGAATCTAATCCATCTTTTCTGGACAGACCTTCATTGCTTCTCAGTAGGCCTTCATTTCTTTCCGTTGGGTCGTCATTTCTGCCAACATCTCCTTGTGGCTGGGTCTCATTTTGGCCAGCAGGCATTCCATCATCTGTTCCAACATTCATTCCATCTTTGTAGACTGACAATACAACTACACAATTCAATACCCGATCAATCTAATCTGACTTCTGACACCATTTGTCACATGTATGAGTATGACTATAGACAGGGTCTGGATTCGTGATCATTTTAGCATATGAATCATGACTACACATAAGTATAACAGCCTCACTGGGTTACACAGTCTACAGATCACTGCGGCTGCAGCACACATGGGTTTCTATGTCTTCCCTTCATAGACTTCGTCCTGCTGCATTTTGTGGCTTAAACATACAACCACACAACACAGCAGGAGGAAACACCCAGCATGACAAAAAACACAAATATGCGATTGGACTATATATAAAACATCAGATGTGCAAAATGCAAGCACAGCAGTCTCCACCAACAACTATAATTCAGTCAAACACCTGATGATGACCAAGGACAGTCAAAACATGTAGTGTACAATGTAGTTTTAAATAGGTTTAAAAGACTCATTGCATATATGTAGTAACTTTTAAACAAATATTTAAAGGAGTGTCACATGTAAGATGGAATATCAGATATATGTGTTAATTACAGTATATTAATAAATTGTCCGAAAAGTCCTCTTTCACCTGTCTCTTTTTAAATACAGATGATGATATTATAAAATGGCATAACAAACTAGCTGCATACATTTTTATATAAGTGGTATTAAAAAAACAAAAAGGCATGGTCACCAATTCTGGCTGATGACTAATTTTCCACTTGACATTCAAGAGTTGTCTTTTGAAGTTATGCCAGTCTCACATGGTCATGATCCATAAGCCTCCAGACAGAACACACTCTCTCTCTCTCTTAAATACGGTTTTCTTTATTAACCTATGCCCGGCCTGTGAGTGTTTAGGACAAATGGAAAAGACAGGAATAAATTAATTTTGAGCGCCAAGCAGAGGTGCAAGCCACAGCAAGGTGTCAGTGAATACTCATCCACCTTGTTTTGATGATCAAAACAGTTGTCTCACTGCCAATTTTAAAAAAAACCTGCCATTCCTTCATATACATCTACATGTCCATTATTAACTGGTAGTTAGATTACAGTTGTCTCAACAGAAGATAATCAAGGGAGATGTCCAGATGGTTAATCTCTAGGCCAAAATTTTAACCCAAGACTATCTACATAAAAGGCCGCACCATAGCTGAAGTGGTTAGTCGATGGCTTCCCACTGCGGTGGCCCGGGTTCAAACCCAGGTCTGGTCAAGTGGGATTTGTGGTGGACAAAGGGGTGCTCGGGTAGGTTTTCTCCAAGTACTTTAGTCTCCCCTGCCAATCTTCCTTCCACCAAATTCTCCATCATCATAATCACCCGGGGCAGGTACAATAGGGCAATCAGTGACTGCCGTGCCAAGTGAACCCAGTTGGACTCCACCCCCCCCCCAATAAGCGAATCTACATAAAAAGCAAGAGTGATACCCCTTGACCATGATATCGGTGTGTTGACAGTGATATTATATGGTAATTTCTCAACCACATGATATATAAGTTGAGCACAACAGAACACCATAAAAAATTCAGTGATTAAATTGCATAGCCATTTATACACAAAGCCATCAATATGGTCATTTGAACATTGACAAATTAATATGCACTCAACGGACACTTACTGATATAGACATTGAACCACATGAACTGTTCACGGAACTCATACCATGCCCGTGTGTTTGGCCAGATAAGGAGAACTCCTGATACAACTGTAGAGATGAAATGGTGCAAACGCCACCATCCTTTGATACGTGACCCATTCACCTTCAGGATGCTTTCACGTATTGTCAACGTGCAGTAGTACCATACCAACAAAAACATGAAGCTCAACTCGAGTGCACTTGTATGAAACAGAAAACAATCATAATTTATACCACTCAGCATTTGAATGTTTAGGACTGAAGGTGGAAGTACACAATGCAATGTACATTTTTGTACTTCAGTGAGATACAGTGAACAAATAATCTCTGAAAAATATGAAACATTACACAAGATTTATATTTAACCCTTTCTCTGTCAACCCCAATTACATATACTCAGTGCAAACCTTGGCAAATCCAGTACATTAATTTAGATTTCAATACACTTGCCTTTGGGAGTAATGTAGCAGATACCTTACTTTAGACAGATCTTAACACTGAGGGAAGCATCAAGGTCCTCTGGCATGTCAATAATATTTTTCGACACTATCCCAGAAAATTATGAAATCAATATTCATCTTCGCTTTATTAAATTCTGATCTTAACATCAGCAATGAATACACAAATATCATGTGATCAGAGAATGTTTAAATTCTAACAGAGATTAAAATGGAAATGACAAACTTTTCATACAATTTTTATTTATTTGTGGTTTATTTAACGACACTGTCAGTATCTCTGTCTATGTATCATCAAGTGGTATGATGGTCAGTGAACAATGAATTGGAAAGGATATGAAAGGAAGAAGTCATAACCCAATTGGTATTATTTTGACTTATTCTGCTAAATTAAGAAAAGGGAATTCATTGAGCATAAGACCTGAAATGTTGATACCAGTATTTATAACTTAAATACTATTTTAAGAACTTGTCTGTGCCTAAAATTGCAGCAAAGAAAGTGTGGCTTTTTTTTTTCTACAAGTAGAATGTATGAAAATTATTGGTAATATTGCCATTTGTTTAAATGTGTTACAAATAGAAGTATTATTTTTTTTATTGCTAGTGGGGTGGGACTAAGTCCCTTGTGCTGCAGCCACTTCTGGCCTATTGTACCAGCCCCAGATGATAGGTGAAGGTGATTGTGGAGCAATTGGTGGAATGAAGATTGGCAGGGGAAACCCAAGTACTCAGTGAAAACCTGCCCCAGCACCACTTTGTCCACCACAAAACTCACTTGACCAGACCCGGGATCGAACCCGGGCTGCTGCAGTGGGAAGCCAGCAACTAACCCCTTGAGCTATGGTGCAGCCTACAGATAGAAGTAGCATGACACAAGACAAATATAACAGCAGACAATACATTTTTGAGATAGAACAATTCTTTAATATCTTGAGAAGCTGTTTCCTTGTTTTAGTTTCATGCCCCTGTCAGCATAGAACTAAGTGTTAAAATAGATGACTTATAAATTAACCAGGTGTTGTGATATGAATAAGATAGGCAAAATGTAATCTGCTATGACAGTGTGGCTTCTGAATACAGAAACTTTGAAAAGTTATCAAAATCTTACTCATCCTCAGCCACTCTTGTAATCTGTTACAAGCTCTTCTGATTGTGACCATGACAAACGCTACACTGATTTATGAATTTGTTTCTATTTTATGTAAAATATTGTTGAGATGTAGCACTTAAATTGGTGATCAAATTTGACATTTCAGCTTTTCATGGTAATGTGTATCAAGGCTACTCATTAAAGGACATGTTGCCATGCAGTTTGGTAGATCAGTACCTACATTCTGGAGAAACCTAATGCCTCCATTTTCCCAAAGATAAAGATATTTGTACCTACTTATCAAACTACATGGCACCACACCCCAGAATACTTCAATCTTAAACTAAACAGAGTTTATTATTTATTTTGAAACCATCATTCTATTCTCTTTTCATATAAAACAATTATCTCACAAGCAAACAACATAAAAAATACTAAACCATGAAAGCAGTTGAAGAATGTCATGTTCCATTCCCAATTAACCGATTCAGTTATACTTTATCAAAACATAACTTGAACAAAGAGCACTCAGACTTTTTAATACTACTACTGCCCTCAAAACCTACTTTTTCAGTTGGTTAATTAATGACATTGCCACTCTTGAAACTATGTAACATCAAAGAAACCTACTGGATCAACTACAAACACCTCATGCATGTATTGGCATTTTAGCTCTATGGAATCACAACTTACTAAATCCTTCTCAACAGCAGTTGTAATGGTAATGAACAACATGATGTATGGACCTTCAGTTTTCAGGAATACACCACACCTATTCTCCTTACATGATTGCTAAGACTTTCTGATCACCTCCTGTCCTAAGTACAGGCTCACGAAAACATTTTCATAGTCCCTTTTCAGAAGAACCTCTTTGCCAAAATATTTTTCATTAACGACCTGATCAATAAAATCTTTTCAAGACCACCTGAACTCCAAAACATTTTTCATCACTCTTTTTACTAATCTGTTTTGTTCAGAAACAGCTGCATATCCAACTTATCACACTCTACTAGCTATATATAAGGACTTCCAAAACCCTCAAACACATTAACCCTAAAGATGGAAACTGCAATGCCTGGCAAAATGCTGGAGAACCTTCAACATTCTGCAGGGTGCATTCCTGAAAGCCGAAGTTGGGCATTAAACTCCAATCATGAAAACCTATGGACAAGTAAATGATATGTTTTTTAGATTATTACTTTTAATTTTCACCACCATCACCATCAGCACTCAACATAAATGAAAAAAAAAAATAAGCAGCTTAAAAGTTTCTGATGAAGGGAGTTTGCAATTACATATGCAGGATGGGGGGTTGACATTTGTTCTATGGTCTTCAATTCACATTACTTTCTTTTCCTGAGGCTTCTAGAACCACATTCTATAGAAATTTAAATTAATTACATGCACACAACAGTTGCTGGTATTTAGTGAGATGACTTGCTGATGAATAACTGAGTCTTCCTATGGGGGATTTTGTGCAGCATGTTCAAACACAGAGGGATGCAGTGTTCCTTTCTTTCCCAGTAAAACCAAATTATAAGGTCACTATTGGCATTAATAAAAGAACAAATAAAACACCACTAATTTCCATCTATTTATCAAAGAATTATGTGACATCATCACAATGATAGATATTTACAATACATGAAAACAAAATACTAACATGTTTTTATAATCTCCTTTTATTACAGTTTGAATTCAAAACTCACCGGAAGTTGGTGAAAAGATTCACAACAGAAAGTATAAAACCAATCATGCTAAGAATTAGCTTGAACTTTTCATACTCATCCTTGTAGCGGAACCTGAAACAAATGTCAGAGCATTAAACAAATTACACTATTTTATATAACATTCATAAACTAACATGGAAGATAAATAAATATAGCAGCAGTACAAGGCAAAGAGTACCTATTGTGTGGCATGACAGGAATCACTGGCTATTGTGAAGACGATGGAACACATCCAAAAATACCTGTATGGACAAAAATTCCATGTGTGCAACAACCACTTCACCCTGACCTGTCTCTCTGGTGTCGTGAACCTGGAAGGGCAGTCTGCTGGGTCCATCTCCAAGAACATGGCCAAAGACAGAAGCACACCAACGGAGACGTTCTCCTCCACACCAACACAAATGCACTCTCTGCCAAGAAGTGGAATGTCAGGCAGTCTGAAGGTAAAGTTATCACTGCTGCCACTGCATATGGTTCAGAGCATGCTGCATCTTGAGGAAACAGCTCGATGATGACATGGTGCCAATTCTACGGGAAGGGCTCAGAAAACGTCCAAAGAAAACGCATATAGTTGGATGCAGTCCTATCTGCAGCAGTTACCGGGCTCATTGGAACTTCCTAACAATTACAGACAACATGCTAAGGGGCCACTGGGGATCAGCTGATGGATGGTCCAAGACAGTCCAAATAGTTCTTCCCAGAACCAAGCTGAAGGAAGTACTGGGGAGCTCCAGGGAAGTTCTTCAAGAGCACATCTGGCTGTAAAAAAAAAAAACCCTAGACAAGATTAGTCATGAAAATTACCAGCTGCATGCAAGAAGCAATGTTGAGAGTAGGCACCAAAAAAGTCACACCTGAAGAGCAAACCGAGGTCCCCAAACCCGGGGCCTGATCCACCAGTGTAATATCGAGGATCTGTTGTAAAGAACTGTCATGAAGTCGCAGGACATTTCCAGAGAGCAAGGGATGATTTGCACAGACTAAAAGACATCACTGATGACAGACATTCTGGTGATCAATCTATTCTGCCACTTCAAGTTCCCTAAGGGAACTGCATAGCAACCGAGACTGGAGTTTCAAGTCACAACTGCTATAACAGGGAATCTACAAGACACACACCACTCCTCTGCATTCACAACCAGAAGGCATGGTGGAGTGATACCTAGACTGCTGGACAGCACCTAATATAGGTTTTGACCCATCAGAGAGACCAGGACATGAGGCTACTCCTCTTCCTGCTGGCCTAACGAACACACAGCCCCAAAACTACAGGAATGACGCCTGCCAGCACAGTGTTTGGGAAACAGCTATGCCTAACCTACATCTTGAGGCTCCCCTCAACAACGAGCAGCCAATGACAGACTACATGATGGACCTCATGGAACAGGTGCATGACATCAGTTATTATGCCTGTCAACCTGTGAAGATGGCCAGCAATAGGCTCGCTATGACTGCCTACGTGACTTAGTGGGGTTCTACGGAGAACACTCAGTCTGGGTGTACTGCCTGGCCCAGACCAGAGGCAAGTAGCTTAAGTTGCAGCCATTCTGGGAAGGCCTGTGGACCTTCCCAGAAGAGTAATCACCTGACTCAGGATCCAGTGACATTCTGGTGCAAGGATAAAGATGGTCCACTTGGCCAGACTGGCCATATCTAGGAGCTACTTCAGATGAGCAACCTAAAGGGCGCAGTGTCGAGAAAAGAGAGTGCAATGAGATTGTGTCGCCTGTGTGCACCTCTCGTTCTACTGACTAACTGAGATCCCCCTTCCAGGAAACTCTCGCCTCATGAGTTTGTCAGCTCTTCATTATCAGTGCTGTGCAGTTTAGTGATTCAGATGAGTGGAACAGAAATTAATGTACAGAACTATAAGGTTTATTATGGACTCTATCCATCGTCTGGTATATGTAAGACAAAAATCCACAACGTTTCGGAGACTGGATCTGTCTCTGTCCTGGGGTGGATGGGGCAAGATAGACCTACTCAGTTGGGCCCGTTAGAAAATCTAGTCTCAATCACTGGACCACCTGAGGACGGAGACAGATGCAGTCTCCGAAACGTTGTGGTTTTTTGTCTTATATATACCAGACGATGGATAGAGTCCATAATAAACCTTATAGTTCTGTACAGTAAACACCATCATCAGAACCCTTTAAAGTCTATTTAGAAATTAATGTGTTCCTCGGTGTTTAGTTCAGTGTAGTTAATCAATGAGTGAATGAGCAGTTGACTAGTTCTCAGTACACAGAAGCTGAGTGGTATAAAGTGCTGTGCATCTTAGTCAAAATAAGAGTGAGTACAGTATTGTGACCACTGATGCAGACGTGAAGTAAGAATAAAGAACCAATCTCAAAAGAATGTGTGGTTGTGTGTGACTGCAAGTAAAAAATCCCAACACCACTGAAGGGACTCCAGACTGCAGCTAATCACCATTGACTGAAATATTATGGGTTATTACTAAGTTCCGTTTAAAATTCTGCAGAAAGCAAAAATAGCATTCAGAATTCAGAACCTGAGTTAATTTCTTCTATACCATTCATATTCAACTAGATATATTGTTAACTTTCTGTCTGCTAGCTGAATTTACAACTACAAAGGTTATGACCAACCTCAGCAGCAGAATCCATGGTAAACAGAATCCCTTGATTTTGATCTCAAAAATATATAACATGCCCTTACCTATATTCCCAAGCACTTTGGGTTGGCTAATATACATCAAGGGGGTTAATGGGGTACATAGCAGAAGACACAAAGGAGGCAGCGCAAGTGCTGTTATCACCAACATTTATTCTTTCCATGGGTGGCGTGTAAGGCTGACAACCTTACCACCATCTTTGAGCCGATTGTCTAGAAAATGTGGGACCCTCAACGTCTCACAACCCTATGGGCTTTCACGGCCTGTTACAGGGATAGCTTTACTTAGTTAGTTAGTTATTTAGAGAGGGTGGGTTTCCCCATGCACCGCGACCAGTTTGATCTATTGTGCTTCCCTCTATGATATTCTACCAGTCTCTATACCCTACCGATAAATGGTGCGTACCATCAGTCCTGCCAAGCAAGCAAGTTCGGCCACTTGCTTAGCAGTGTCTATAATGCTTCCCCCATCTATCAGAGGCCTTAGAGACTATTGTTGGGAGGGAAACGTCCTGGAATTTGGCTCAGTGATCCCCTTTGGGGATATGAGGTTCTTTTACGTGCCGTAAAGTTACGACACGGGACACACAGCTTAAAGTCCCTCCTGGAGGACTTGTTCCCTGAATTTTTCCGCCCTAAAAAATTCGACGACCTCCACCGGGTATTTGAACCCGCGTACTACGAGTCATGAGGCGGGAACGTTACCCCTAGACTACGGAGGCCGCTTATAGCTTTACTTACTTAATTACTTTATGGATTTAGTATGATATTCTTTACAAGGATATTGTTAATGATGGCTAGTTAAAAAGCATAGATTGTTTCCCATTGGTATGCTGTTCATAAACTTTCACAAGGATCAGTTGATGTCTGCAACATCCATTTAAATTTTTGAAAAAGGACCCAGAGACAGACACATACAGTTAATTTATAGGTTTCAAAATAGGGAAGTCCATTCTATAGAATCATAAAAATAAACATACAATACTAACACTACATCACGAGAGAACTATGTACATTCAGATTTTGATTTCAAAGGCACGATCACCATGTATAAATTATAGGCTATAAGGCATACATTATATAACCTGAAACATCAGAACATGACATTTAACCTTTCTTATCTATATACATACTACTAGACACTCTAAAAACATCTACATTACACTAAACTTTACCATAAAAAAGCAAGTAAAATAAAATAAATTAAATGTACCCTAAAAGGGCTAAACTGCCATATGCTTATTCCCTGCGACATGAGTACATGTATATAAATTCTCATAAGTAAAGTGCATGATATCATGCGAAATCAGTGTTTGGATCAATAGTAGCTCATTTTTTCTCGGGAGTTTTCTTTAACCCATAAAACAATCATAGGAGAAGTACATGTCTATCATTTCTGGGCCCAATTTTCATCTGATCATAGGTATACATACTTGTCATTCTTGTTAAGAATGGATACATTAACATTTCCAAGAATTATCTTCAAGTACAGTCCATTTTGTTTGGGTAAAGACTGTTCCATTTCATGTAACTGAGCCATCCGTCGCAATAAGTCTTTTTCGAGCCCACGGATAGCATCCTGTTTTGCATCATTTGTGCTGATATTTCTGGACAACCTGACACAAAGCAGAATCTTTATTAACGTTACATAAAATAAACAATTTAAACACATCAAACAAGTCTGATGTCAGTAGTAGAAATAACCTAATGTATTCCTCTTACGTTTTAATGGAGCGATTAACAATTCCAAGACGATATCTCTGATGATTAATTCCTTTCATACATTTCGCCTGGAGATCGCCCACTTCTTCCAATTTGTTAATATATTCTCGGTTTAATTCCTAAAATATTCAAGCAACAAAAATTATATTAAATCTCATCAAAGATACAAAGTTCAACATCTGAAATTGAACTTAATCAAGGTCAAGTGAATGTGCTATTACTTATATAAGTACTATTATGGACGGGATCAAATACTGCAGAAATTATTTTAAGGTGCAATTACAAACATTTAAATGACAGGAATAATGTTAACATTTCATGCAATAACATTCTCTTCCTCAGAAACATCATAGGTACACTCACTTCTAAAACCTTATACTCCGCACCAAGATCTGAGAAATCTTGAACACAAGACTCCACATCACTGAACTCCATACTACAATACAAAATTAGTTCATTTGTTCAATCCTACGGGTCTGCAGGAACATACACACATAAGTGAGGAGCAATATGCCCCATACAGGACTACTCCGACAATGCGAACGAGGCAAACTATATGAACCACGGATCTCGATAGGGACCTACACCGATGTTCTAACTGGCAGCCACGGAGTGACTGGCAATCACGGCGATCGCGGCAGTAATATTGCGGAACAGCTGTTACATATGCAGGATGTCAGCACAGATTACTAAGCAACAAGGGTAGACTATGACGACTATGATGAGTTACTAGCACGGATTACTACCCCACCCCACGACGAAGAGGAGGCATAAATTATAACCACTCACATGTCTAGGACAAAACAAAATTCTTGGTCATGGAGTTCAAGGGTACCTGACGCCAGGAATAACTGTGCCGTCGGCTAGATCGAGCAGCAGCGTAAGCGACCAACATGAATTGATTACTAACTAACGTGAATAACATAAGTTGTGATGGATGTGCAGCTGAATGTTTTTGTTCGGCAACGAAGCCTCCGTGACGTCATAAAAGCAATATGCTGCCATGTAGGCCTTGTATTCCCTCGTTCGGATAATGCTGTAGAACGCCTGCAGCCACTGCCGAGAGCTCGGTCGGTAAAGAGGTTAACTACTATCGTATTTGTCTTAGTCATTTATCGATACCGCTTCTTAAACAGGAACAATTCTCAATTCAAACATAATTAGTTAGTTAGTTATTGGAGAGGGCGGGTTTCCCCAGGCACTGAGACCTGTATTGGTCCATTGTGCTTCCCTCTATGATTTATACCAGTCTCTACATCCTACCGGTACTGGTGCTTACCATCAGTCCGGCCCAGCCAGCGAGACCGGCTCTACTAGCTGAGAGGTATCTATAATGCTTGCCCCATCTACCAGAGGTATTAGAGACTGCTGTTGGACGGGAAACGTCCGTTAACTTGGCTCAGTGACCTCCTTAGGAGATACGAGGTTCTTTTACGTGACGTAAAGCTACGACACGGGACCCACGGCTTAAAGTCCCTCCCGGAGGACTTGTTCCCTGAATTTTTCCGACCTTAAAAATTCGATGACCTCCGCTGGGTATTTGAACCCGCGTACTACGAGTCATGAGGTGGGAACGTTACCTCTAGACTACGGAGGCCGCAATTCAAATATAATACTTTCAAGATGAAGTACAGAATGAACTCTGTCTTCTGAAAGTGGAATTCTAATATACTGACATGAAAGAGACACATTAGCAATGTGGGGAAGAGATGCTGCTGAAGTTCGGAATATGTTTCTTGTACATAATCACTGACTGTAGAATATGACAATGATATTGTTCGAGTACCAGAGTTTTGAGACAAGTACATGTGGTTTCATGGTAGTTTCTGTTGCTGCACTGCAATTTCTTGGCATCAATGTCACTTTCTCCAAATTATGAAAAATCTATTGATGCTCACATCAATGGTTGCCACAAATATTCTTCTAGTAATTCAATAAATTCTCTCTGCTGACTTTCAGGAGCCAATATGGCAGAAGAGTGTTATGTCACGTGACTGATCACAGTTACGGTTAAGCTGATATGCCATTAAAATAATTGAAGCATATTGTCACATGTTTGTGACTGGACACGGGGTTTCTTTGATAACTGGATTTACTGAACACTTAGAACTCATAACTACAAACAGTTATAATGCTATTGCTAATCTATGCACTTAACAAATCACTACTGCAAACCCTAAGCCTTCTCAGTCTGATACATCTTCACTAGTTGTTGCTTGGTAGTGACTCTAAAAAATGTCTGCTTCTGACTCTTCAACTCTTCTCTGCCACCTCACAACTGGTCATCAACTGCAGCTTACTGACTGACTGGCTGCTAAATTTCTGCTATCCTCACCAGCACAGGGATTCTGTGTCCAAGTCCCACAGGACTCATGTTTGTATTTTACTGTCTAATGGCCCTGGACTCTTCAGCATAACTCTACACCTCATAGTCCAGTCCAATAAATTTCTGCTGTCCTTCACCACCATAGCCTTCTTTGATTCAGGACCCATGACCACATTTTTGTTCTTTCCAGACTTTTATGTGTTCTGAAATAATGCCTCCTCTTCTGACTAATATTGGTCATCTCCTCTATACGGAGGAGTGACTGTTCTGTCCCTCGCGCTCACTCACTCGTCATGCAACTCATGAACGAACTGACTGCTAATTGCTGCTGGTCCTCACCAGCACAGTGATTCTTTGTTCAGGTTTTCTGGTGCTAAGCAAGAGTTCATCATTCCAAGATAATTTTTATAAAGAAAAAAAAATCTGTTACTAAAATAAATTAAGAGTTTGTACAATCACTATACAGTTGTACTAGATGGCTTTCACTTATTAAATTCAACACTGTATTCTCAGGATACTTTTTAAATGGTGTTGTAAAAACATATGAGGGCAAGCAATGCAATAGATTGACGTAATCGGGACACCTGATGATGGCACTATGTTGCCGAAACATGTTGTGAAGTGACAGGTGAAATTGAGTGCACTACAAGATGGCCACTGTATAGTACATATCATGGATGAAAATCAGTGCAACAGGATGCTAAAATATAACATTATTCTCAGGATATTTAAAAGCTTGTTTTAAGTCAGAATTCTTAAGAAGTATCTCTTCCTCTTTTGTAGTATGTATCTGTCTGTGCATATGCACATCTGTGCTTCTGTGTGTGAGTGTGGCAAAGATTGACTATTGCATGATATGAAAGAGGATTTCTTTTAAATTGATGGCATTCAAGTTAATTAGATCAATAAAGGTCAAAATTTGTTTCCCCTGAGAACTTTTTGGTCTATATTGCCAGTACCACACACTCATTAAATCTGTCACATAGTTTCAAATAGGAAACATGCAGGCAAGTATGCTTTATGTATGCATTTTATGTATAGCTAACTTTGTCAGTGGTGTACATCTTGCACATACTCTGTGCTTTCAAATCAAACTGGAACTTTGGCACAAGAAGAACAAACTGTTTAAGGAATGACACTGTGCATCATAAACAGACCTATAGACCTTAAACTTTGTGACTATATCATATTTAACATGCATGTCAACACTAAGTAAACTAATACATTGTTCCAATTTGAGGTTCTCACAGCGGCAGTTATGAGGAGTTCTGTCTTCTGGGATATAACACAGTGTAGTCTGTTGAAAGTGAATTGACATTTTTGAGGAACAGGCTGCCTTCATCTTCAGGACCAAAGAATAAGCCCAACAAGAGACCAGTGTAAAGGCGGTAGTGAGCAGCTCCATATTTATGCAAAAGTGTCAATATCTTATGATGAAAAATATGTACCTTAAGACAAAAATTAAATAATCTCTGAAAATGACATGTATAATCCAGAAATGCTGTTTTAAGTATTCTGAACGAGAGTACATAGCATTCAGTCAAATTATAACTATTTTGAGTTTACTGTAATTACCTCCAAACTCACTACTGTTCAATTTTCTTGTCAGCCCATGCTGTACTCGTATAAAAATTTCTACCTACTAGTCAAGTATCCTAGAGAATGACATAGCAATTTTATTTCATAATCAAGAACTAATATAATAATAAATGCAAGTAGGTAATGGATGTAGATGATGATGGTAGTTGCAGACAGGCAAGTAATATGGTGTTTAGCAACACACACACACACACACACAATTCTCTCATGCAATCTCTCTCTCTCTAAAGTCAATAAGCTTTTACATCTACTGAAATCGCCTTTATTTTGAATTACTTCCATTACCATATTTTTCAATTTCAGAAATGTCTCTGTTGTTCTCAGATTTCCCGCAACCAAATATTCACTGATTTTAAACCTGAATTCAGTTAAATAATATTTAAAATTTCAATTCCTCTCCAAATTACAAAGACCAAATTCTCATTATGGAAATAACTCATTTATCCATACAAAACCCATAAATACACTCTATGGGTAAAATGCAAACAGATTTGTAATGCTACTGGAGCTGGTACATAAGTAATCATTGTTTTAGTGTTAAAATCTTGCATAGCATTCCATTTTTCTTGGAATTCCCTTTGTCTTCCTGCAGTTCCTTTCCTATTATTAGAAAGTTTATCGTTCTTTTAAGTCAGCTGTTTTATTATAATTATGAGTTCTACCTGTGCATTGCCAATTAATCTTATTTTCTGTAATCTGAAGGCTTTTTTTACTATTGTAAATCATAATTATTTGTTTATTGTGGATTTCTTATCTGATATGACTGTTCGTAAATGGCATGTTTCTGACTTTTTATTTATGTAATCTAAGGTATTAACTATTTATATTTTATATTGTTGTAATGTTCCACGTAAACAACTTTTGTAATTGGTCTGTATGTACATACTAAGTGAGGACAAGTTCTGTATCCATCTTGTGGATGTCTGGAATACTGAATAAATACTAATACTAATACTAATGGCATATTTTCTTTGCAAAAGATGAGTGTATGCTGTGGAGTTCATGTCTGTCTGAGTGTTTCATCTCCAAATTACTGGGTTGGTTCCAGTTACATGTGGTACTATGTACTGAAGGTTACTGCTAAAATCAATTAATGCTTTGCAGATTTATTACACCATTAGGGAAACAGAATACTAAAAATGTTATGAGATCTGAGGTTGCTACAGCAGTGAATATTAAGATTATGGACTTCTGGGATGTGATGCTGTGTAGTTTGGTAGATAGGCACTAATGTTTTAAAGGAGCCTACTGCCTTCACTTTCAGACTCATACATTCTGAAGATGGGGCAGTAGATTTTTCAAATTGCTGGTACCTATCTACCAAACAACATAGCACCACATCCGAGAAGTCCATAATATGAATGAACTTTTATAACAGTCTTTAGTAGTCAAACATTTTTAATATAATTGCTAACTTGTTAGATATGGGAATTTCTTTCTTTGTGTTACTGTTCATTACCTGAATTTTTTATCCAATATTATTCAATAGTAATTCAGTGCTAACTGACATTCTTGTTAAATTATGAAACAAATATGTGTCTGTCTAGTCTCAGTTCATTACAGAGGAATGATGTTTGTCAAGGTATGGTCTAATCCATATTTTACTTCTCCTCCTTCTATATCTTCTATTAACTATGTGTATTATTGTGTGAACAGCAGCTGAAACTTCAAAATCCATGACTTACAAACTTTCAGGAATATACTAACATTTTAAAGGAATGTCCAGCACTCATGGCTGGGAATCTACTACATAATGAAAAAAGAAAAATTGTTGCATATCATCAAGTT